GCCAATGCACTGTCTGTGTGTTGTGTTTATGGTCATCTCCAATTAGTTAACTCTAGGCTTAACTAATCTTAGTTGAACTTACAAATAGGTGCAACTGGCTCCTGTAACATAATACAACTATGTTGTGTCAGTCACTACTTGTTTAAACAAGTTTGGCAATTTAAAAAAAGAAAGAAAAAATATGTAACATAATTGTTTATTTTAGTGGCCGCCTGTATAGATGTTTTTATAGAGATTACAGCTAAAAGTTGGAGAATAACACAGAAAGACAGTGTGGGTGAATATACTGGATAAGAGAGAAACTTTTACCATGACACATTATAATATAATAACACCAATTGCTGCAATAGGTACTCATTCAAACCCTCATTGAGAGATTGTGTTGAGTTCAGGCAGAGAGGCACATCAGGATTATGTTTACATGATTTTATGTTTGATCTGTTATGTCTACATGCCTGTTAGTAACATCAGAGAATATTCATTTTACTATTCTCTTCATTGTTTGTTGTCTGAACAAAGTGCTTCTAATAATGTCCCTGTTAAATCAACTACAATTCTTCCTTTTTTCTTTCTTTGTTTCTCGTCTTCACTGCTTCTCATCCTCTACTTCCTCTCTTTTAAAACCCAGTCTGTTCCTCCTCTCCCTCTCCTCATGTGTCTCTTTCTCCTTTCAAACGCTTCTTCCCATCATCTTTGTGTTTTGTGTAATCAGGAGTGTCTGGGTATGATCCCTCCTCCCTCCACAGCCTGGTTTCTGTCCTGTTCTGTTATCACTCTTTTATCCCACTCAAACAGGTCTCTACATAGAAGCATCTAAAGCCTTATTCAGATGGGATTAACATACAGGGGAAGGTGGGGAAGAAAATATTCACTGAGCTCCTCTGTATTTTAACTTAATTTTAAATTAGACGACATCAGAGGACATTGTAACCATCTGGAAATGACAGGATGTGGTCTGTAATAGCCATTAAGCAGAACAAAGACCAAAGAGAAAGACTAAAGCTGCCCCAGGGGGCGCCAGAGAGGTGTCAGAAAAACAGTGACTTGCACTTCTTGAAGATATTATCTCTACAGTCCATCCAGAATAAAGGTCCATACCCCCACTTAGAAATCATAGAAAAAGATGCTTCAGAACATGCCTAAGAATCATCATGTGTCTCTTTATCAAGTTCTCTTCAGTATCAAAGTAATTCAGTGGTAGTAGTCTGTACATCCATGTTGCCCTACAGTGGCAAAAGAGCTCAACTCACCAGTGTAGAACTGAGAAAAATGACTTTAAAGTTGATTTAATGTTCAGCTAAATTAATTGAAATCAAAGCAGAATGTTTAAAATGTATCAATTGTTTGTGTTTTTAATGAGGAGGTCAAACCTCTGACCCTTTTTTGGAAGTTAAGGTACTCTGCCTTTGCATTGTCTGCATAATAATATGGGGTCCTGCCAAAGCAAAAAGGCATTAACATCCATTTGATCACTCACTCTGTTAACTGATCATAAAATACATAAAAAATACATAAAGCATAGCGCAGTTATGCTAGCAGTTTTTTGTCAAGTAGTTAGCCTAAGCTAGCTAATAGGC